CACGACCCAAGCCGAAGGCAGACACCCAACAACTGAGCCACTCAGGCCCCCCGCATTTGTAATTTTGATAAAAATTGCCAAGTTGCCTTCCATCAGGGTTGAACTAATTTAGATTCCCACCAGCAATATGAGAGTTGTTAAACTTTTAAAGTGAAATTAGTTTGTTCTATGATACATAAAGACAAGTAAGAAGGAGAAGAACATAACCACCAGTTCATTACAATATGTCTTTTATGGACCATATTTATGTGGTGTTTCCTCCAATCAATTTTGAGCTCTTGCAAGATGGGAGCACATTTTTTCCCAAATCTTTACTGCCCACAGAGAACTTAGCCAAATGCTATGTATATAGTAGATGCTCAGTAATTTTTTCGTGTATATTTATATACATACAAAAAGCAAGCAAACAAATCACTAATGGTAAAATATTGTCCAAGAACACAAGCTCAGGGTTGGGAAATAATACTAAGTAAAAAGGTTTAATCTCTTTAAAAAAATAGTACCACTGAACTAATTCAACATACTGTTTCTAAAATACTCTTCATTTTTACTTTTTTGAAGTAGTTGTTTGGGTTACCCAAATCAGATATCACTGTTGGAATAAGGTGTTCAAGCAAGACTGAATACATTTTTCAGAGGTGTTATAAGTATTATAATGAGCTTATGTATCCGATTAAGTTTGAATTCTGTAAATGCTAAAGCCTTTTCTAACTATAAGATTAATTCTTTGAGTGTGAAGGTGGTTAAAATAATTTTAGATTATATAATCTATTCACTAGAGGTAAGCATTTCTTTTGGCATAAGGTGTATTTACTGAAAATCTTGCATATAAATGAAGTTGTTTCAGTTGTACTTAGAAAAGATGGTTGTGGGGCACTGGGATGGCTCAGTCCATTGAATGCCTGACTCTTGATTATGGCTCAGGTCATGATTTCACAGTCCTGGGCATTGGGCGTCAGACTCCATGATGTGGAACCTGTTTAGGATTCTCTGTCTGCCCCTCCCCCCATGCTGATTCTGACCTCACGCTTTCTCTTTTTCTAAAAAGAGAGGAAAAAAAAGTCATTTTGTGGAGATAAATTTAAGACGGTTTTTTATTTAAATGATCTCTCCTTAATTTATCTTTTGTTATTTCACATTGTTTAAAAACTGAGTTTGTTTAAAACAGCAGAAACCTATACTACAGATAATCGGTAAACAATAGATAATCTTTTCTCTGCACAGGGACTTCTGTCTCTTCATTGATACTGATTTTTTTGTGACTGATAGTTTACTTTTTATTGGTTATATTCTTAAAAGAGAATTTTAAGTCCACCAAATGGGGGGGGGAACATATATTACCTATAAAACCAGTATTTGTAAGCAGTTGAGTATTGATTAGAAAAGCCAAGACAGCCAAAGAAAGCTTTGTTTCCACAGTTCCTAATTTCCTGATATTTCTCAAAACGTGTAAGTACACTAAATGAGCATTAGTGGAATGGCTCATTTAGTTTTTGCTCTCTGTTTTTTATCACAATAACAGAATAACAGAAGTATATCATCTGTCAAAAGATTGATTTATCAGATTAGGATTTAGGGAATGAATAGTAACCATTAGCAGTTTTTCATCTTTAGTGTTATTCAACTCTATTTATCAAAAAATAAAATTTGGCGAAGGCTGTTGTTTGGCCAGGTATTATGCATGTGTGAGTGTTGAAACACAAGCAAACCAGAACCCTAACATTGGTATCTCTTTTTTCTCTGGCCAAAACCTTAGTAGTGGAGCCCCAAGCCTGCTTGTACTGATACCACAACCAAAAATACATGCTATATATATAGCAGGAAGCATTTTGACTCTACTGAAAGCAAACAGTATCCTTATAACTAAAGGCAAATAGACAAACAGAATGACTTAAATTGATGTTTCACTTTTCTGCAATGGTAAGTAGAAGAGGGAAAAGAAATTCTCTTAAGACTTAAGGGGAGCCTGGATGGCTCAGTGGGTTAAGCCTCTGCCTTCAGCTCAGGTCATGATCCCAGGGTCCTGGGATCAAGCCCTGTGTCAGGCTCTCTGCTCAGCGGGGAGCCTGCTTCTCTCTCTCTCTCTGCCTCCCTCTCTGCCTACTTGTGATCTCTGTCTGTCAAATAAATAAATAAAATCTAAAAAAAAAAAAGACTTAAGTCTCCAAGACTCTATAGACTCAAAAGGACCAAAGAATAAACACTTTCTAAAAATTGTTGGTTGAGGGGTGCCTGGGTGGCTCAGTGGGTTAAAGCCTCTGCCTTTGGCTCAGGTCATGATCCCAGGGTCCTGGGATCGAGCCCCACATCCGGCTCTCTGCTCAGTGGGGAGCCTGCTTCCCCCCCTCTCTCTGCCTGCCTCTCTGTCTACTCGTGATCTCTGTCAAATAAATAAATAAAATCTTAAAAAAAAAAGTTGTTAGTTGAGGGGTACCTGGGTGGCTCAGTGGGTTAAGCCTCTGCCTCTGGCTCAGGTCATGATCTCAGGGTCCTGGAATCGAGACCCGCATGGGCCTCTCCGCACAGCAAGGAGCCTGCTTCTCCCTGTCCATCTGCCTGCCTCTCTGCCTACTTTTGATCTCTCTGTCAAATAAATAAATAAAATCTTTAAAAAACTTTTTTTAGTTGAGGGGCACCTGTGTGGCTCAGCTGGTAAAGCGGCTGCCTTCAGCTCAGGTCATGATTCTAGGGTTCTGGGATCGAGAGAGCCTGCTTCTCTCTCTCCCTCTGCCTGCTGCTCTGTTTACTTGTGCTCTCTATCTCTCTGTAATAAATAAATAAAATCTTTAAAAAAAATTGTTAGTTAAACAAAAAGTTCCCTATCTTGAAATTAGATATTGCTTCTATTGGTATTAGCAATTTTCCTTTATTGCCTGAAATATCTTCTCTGGGAAGAAATACATTTAACTTAGGTTTTCCAGATGCAACCTTCAAAATCTCTCTTACAACTTAAGGAAAAAATTCATTTTAAAAAGTCAGATTGCTGCAATGCCTAAGTGCCTCAGTGACTCTCGATTTTGGATCAGGTCATGATCTCAGGGTTGTGAGGTTGAGCCCTGCATTGGGCTCTGTGCTTGGCATGGAGCTTGCTTAGGATTCTCTCTCTCCCATTGCCTCTATCTCTCCCCTCCCCCTCCTCTCTCTTTACCTATCTTTAAGGGGGAAAAAAAGTCAGGTTGCCATTTTAACCTCCTGGGAAGATAGGTTTTACATTATAGTAGTCCCCCTTATGCATGGAGGATATGTTTCGAGACCCCCAGTTGATGCCTGAGACCATAGATAGTACCGAATATCTATGATACTCGGTTTAGAATATTTAGAAATTCAATAGTTTATATATACTATGTTTTTTCCTATTCATACGTACATATGATAAAATTTAATGTATTAAATTAGGCACAGTAAGAGATTAACAAGAGCTAATAATAAAATATACCAATTAGAGCAGTATACTATAATAAAAGTTATATGAATGTGGTCTCTTTTTCTCTTAAAATATTTTATTGTACTTTATATTAGTGATTTTTATGGTGATGTGAGATGAAGTGAGTTGAATGGCATAGTCACTGTGATAGAGCATTAGGCCATGACTGACCTTCTGTCCATATGTCAGAAGGAGGATCATCTTTTCAGGACCATGGTTGACGGTTGGTTACTGAAACCATGAAAAGCAAAACCATGGATAAGGGAAGACTGCTGTGTTTTCCCTTTTGAAATATTATTCATAATAATCTCAGAGACAAAGATTTAGAAATCCCTTTGGGTTATCTGTGACCCAAAAATATAAGAATCCAAGAGAACCTTTTTGGAACTGATACCCTCCAGGTATTATAGAGTTACCCAGAGACTAAATATAGAATCTTAGAAAAACTTGGGTTCACTGATAAGAAAAGTAAAATTATTTCTATAGAACCTTGTTGGAATCTCAGAGTAAGGTCATATATTTTGTGCTTCCAGCACATGAAAGAACATAGGTAACTTGACTGGCTAGAATTCATTTCCAGGGGCGCCTGGGTGGCACAGTGGGTTAAAGCCTCTGCCTTCGGCTCAGGTCATGATCCCAGGGTCCTGGGATCGAGCCCCGCATTGGGCTCTCTGCTCAGCAGAGAGTCTGCTTCCTCCTATATCTCTCTGCCTGCTTCTCTGCCTACTTGTGATCTCTGTCAAATAAATAAATAAAATCTTTAAAAAAAAAAAAAAAAGAATTCATTTCCAACTCCTGGAATCAGTTTGTGGCTCTAACTACAAGGGGAAAGTTCTGGTAGTAGATGTTATAACACAGAACCAAACCACTCAGTCCACTTTTCATCTTATAGATACATTCTTAAGGTGCTCTGACATGTCCAAATGACCTTCAGATGTCATTAAGGAAGAGAAAATAAGAAGAGCTTTAAAGACAACTCTGTAAGAGACAAGTAGATTCATTTTGATTTCTCCTTGAAGCCATCAGTGATAGCTGAAGCATCTGTGTTTTTTTGTTTTTGTTTTAGGATTTGTGTAAAAATAACACTATTGTTAAGCATTCCCTGTTAGTTGTTTCATGGGGAGAAATGTTTTGATATACCAGGGATTTTGTTCAGCATAGTCTTTTGCTTTATGGCTTTGGATTCTTGACAATATGGATAAATAGTGGTTATTTCCCTAAGTTTTTAAATCCTCACAGAGGTAACTGAGCTTTATTCGGGTAAATGCAATAGTACATTTGAAACAAAACATAAACTTCCTAAAGTATAATGGGGAACTCTGTAAAAATAGAGTCCTATTACTAGATAATGTCTCTAACTCACTCTGGGAGAGCTTTTCCAGCTGAAACAATCCACCTCACAGTGGAGAATCCTAGCCAGTGGAAAGGAACCTGATGGGATGTTGCCTATTCTTCAAGCCTCTTAGGTTCAGGGAACAAAATGGAGAACCACTATGTTAGACCATCACTGAAGGGACTTTTACAGCTACATAACATTATAGTTAGCTCTGCTTTCTGGATTTTACCATTGTAACAGGCAAAACTAGATGGTGGAAGACAACAATGGAGACCCGTCCTCATGGCTGTGACTGAGAAGGATTTGCTGCTTTATGACTGTATGCCGTGGACAAGGGATGCCTGGGCATCACCATGTCATAGCTACCCTCTTGTTGCCACAAGGTAAGTTTAAAGACAAAAAATAAAATAAAATAAAATAAAATAGCTGTCCTACTCTAAATCTACCAAAAAATTTTAAAGTGAATTCTATTATATTGGGTACCTGAAGTAGCATTTAAGTAGTAGACATAGATGGTTGAGACAAAAACTTTTCTTTCATAACCTTATTGATTATTTTGCAGCTCCCGGCTCAGTAAATGTTTTCTGTCATTAGCATTTTTTAAGTTGTTGAAACAGCTTCCTAGAACTGTTTGCTTCAAGTCTTGCTTAGTCATGAAGATAAATAGTAGGGTTTTATTTTTCCTTTACTTTATTGACTGTGACTAGAAAACCACTGAAATTGGGGTAACCTTTTGACTGTGTGATGAATTCACTTAAACCAGAATATAGTACTGTGGATAAACCACACAAATCAGCCAAAATATTCTTCAGTTCTCTTTCTAGCATAAGAGCACATAATTTTGATGCCAGCAAATAGACATTGATTTGACCTAAAGCAACAGGAAATTTCTAGCATGCCAGATGTGGAAAGTTGGAAGGGAAATTAATAGAGATATGTAGATTTGGGGGCTGAGGTGTCTTACAAGGTAACTAGAAACTAGTCTGAAACTAGAAAACATATTCACATTTAACTTTATTTGGGCTTAAAAAAAAATCCAGCTTTGAAGTAACTCAAAAACTATACATTAAAAAGGAACTCCACAGAAAAGTATTTGGTATTTAAAAAAAAAAAGCTGCATGACGAGGCCATCTGGTATGTTCCCCGAGGAATGGTGTGGTGGGGGTAGAAGTGGTGATGAGGGTTCCTGCTTAGAGTAGACCAAGAGTCATTTGAGGAGGAGTATTCTCTAAATTACAGGAAGACTTTCACGGTGTATAGGATTTCCTTCAACTTTCCAAGTTGTCTTACATATGTCATTCTTTTTATAGAAATATAATTTTCACATAACTTTTAGGAATTTCTCTGTAATTTAGAGCTGGAGCACCTAGATCACAGAATACAGATAAAGGATTTGTTGAACTTAAGAATTAGGGAGGTGCACCCTCATTAATTCCTTGAGGACATAAGGATTCTACAGAAAGACTGAATTTAACCATCAGTTCTCTGGGTTGGTTTTGTTTTTTTCCCCTCTGGATTTTTTTTTTTTTTTAATTCTCACTAAATTATAACTTCTTTGAGGTTAAGAACTATGACTGAGTCATCTCAGCACTTCCATAAATCTTAATCAAATTCAATTCTATTACTTAAATTATAGTTTCTCAGTCATAGTTACATTAGGAGCATGACAGGAATCTTGTGAAAACGTGTGAACATATCTCAGTAGTTATGATTCCAACAATTAAATTTGTATCTCCCAAAGATTTAGAGTTTATGAATATGACTAAAAGATCTCTTAAGTTTCAGGGTGCCTGGGTGGCTCAGTGGGTTAGGGCCTCTGCCTTCCGCTTGGGTCATGGTCCCAGAGTCCTGGGATCAAGCCCTGCATCGAGCTCTCTGCTCAGCGGGGAGCCTGCTTCCTCCTCTCTCTCTGCCTGCCTCTCTGCCAACTTATGATCTCCGTCTGTCAAATAAATAAATAAATACTTTTAAAAAATCTCGTAAGTTTTAATTTTATGGAAGAAGCCTATACTCTAGTTACGGTCATAGAATGCAAGGAGTAGCTTTATCCTTAGACATTTCCTTAATTGTGTGTCACTAGAGAGATGGAGCAGAAATCTGTGACATCCCATAGATGAGCCTTAGTTCAATACTAGAAAGTACAATCCTATAAACAAATAATTTCTGGCCATTGACTAGATGGGGCCTAGACTACCAAAGCCCTTTGGTACTAAAGAAGGAGATGGCATGGTTATGTGTCTACTATCAGTGTACATTATTTTGCGAATAGGGAAAAGATATAAATAAGACTTACAACTAAAACTTTAAAACTCTTAGAAGAAAATACAGGAGTATATCTTTATGACCTTAGCTTAGGCAGACCTTCTTGGATAGTACACAAAAGCACAACAACAAGAGAAAAAAATAAATAAATTGGACTTCATTAAAATTAAAAACTTTTATGCTTCAGATGTCACCATCAAAAAAGTGAAAAGACAACCCACAGAATGGGAGAAAATATTTGCAGATCATTTATCTAATTTGGAACTTGTATCTAGAAAATATAAAGAACTCTTACAGCTCAATAATAAAAAAGGTAAACTACCCAATTCAAAAATGAGAAAAAGATCTAAAAAAACATTTTTCTAAAGAAGATATGCAAATGGCCAATAAGCACAATGAAAAGATGCTCAACATAATTAGCCATGAAGAAAATGCAAATTGGAACTACAGTGAGATACCATTTCCCAACCACAAGGATGGCTATAATTAAAAAGGCAGATAATAACAAGTGTAAACTAGGATGTGGAGAAAATGGAACCCTCCTACACTGCTGATGGGAATGTAAAATAGTGCAGTTCATGTGGAAAATAGTCTGGCATTTCCTCAAAAGGCTAAATATAGAGTCACCATACAACCTAGCAATTCCACTCCTAGGTTGTATACCCCAAAGACATGAAAACTTATGTCCACACAAAAACTTCTACATGAGGGGCGCCTGGGTGGCTCATTGGTTAAGCATCTGACTCGATCTCAGCTCAGGTCTTGATCTCAGGATCATGAACTCAAGCCCATTGGGCTCAAGCCCAGTGTTGGGCTCCACACTGGGCATGGAGCTTACTTTAAAAAGAAAAGAAAAGAAAAAACTTATATATGAATGTTCCCAATAGCATTATTCATAATAACCAAACAATGGAAACAACCCCAACTGTTCATCAATTGAGAAATAAATGTATATCCATACAATGAAATATTATTCAGCAATAAAAAAGAATATGTTCTTATACATTCTGCAGCATGGATGAAACTTGAAAACATACTAAGCAGGGCACCTGGGTAGCTCAGTCATTAAGCATCTGCCTTTGGCTCAGGTCAGGGTCAGGGTCCTGGGATCAAACACCACATAGGGCTCCTTGCTCAATGGGAAACCTCCTTCTCCCTCTCCCATTTCTCCTGCTTGTGTTCCCTCTCTCACTGTGTCTCTCTCTGTCAAATAAATAAAGAAACTCTTAAAAAAAATAAAGAGAGAGAGAAAAAAAGAAAGGAAGGAAGGAAAGAAAGAAAACATACTAAGTGAAAATAGCCAGACATAAAAGACCATATATAGTATGATTTAGTTTATATAAAATGTCCAGAGTAGGTAAATCTATAGAAATAGAAAGTAGGTTGTTCATTTCCAAGGATTGGGTTGGGGGGGGAGTGTTGGGAAAAATAGACAGTGATGTCTAATCGGGTATAGGACTTCTTTTTGGGGTAATAAGAGTGTGCTAAGAGGCGCCTGGGTGGCTCAGAGGGTTAAAGCCTCTGCCTTCGGCTCAGGTCATGATCCCAGGGGCCTGGGATCGAGCCCCGAATTGGGCTCTCTGCTCAGTGGAGAGCCTGCTTCCCCCCTCCCCCGCCTGCCTCTCTGCCTACTTGTGATCTCTGTCAAATAAATAAATAAAATCCTTAAAAAAAAAAAAAAAAAGAGTGTGCTAAAATTAAATGTGATGGTTGCAAAATTCTGTGTATATTAATATCCATTAATTTTATCTCAATAAAGCTGTTATAGGGGCACCTGGGTGGCTCAGTCAGTTAAGCCTCTGCCTTCAACTCGGATGGTGATCTCAGGGTCCTGGGATCGAACCCTGCATGGGGCTCTCTGCTCAGCAGGGAGCCTGATTCCTCCTTTCTCTGTCTGCCTCTCTGCCTACTTGTGATCTCTCTCTCTGTGTTAAATTAAAAAAAAAAAAAGTCTTTAAAAAAATAATAAAGCTGTTATAATTAAAACAACCCATCTCTCCCAAAACCACAAAGATGTAATGGGATAAATTAAGACCAATCCTTAATAAACTGCATTTGAGTCCCTATTTTGCCACTTAGAGTCGGTAATCAGCAGCATGTTTCTTAACCTTTCTCTGCTGTAGAATTTCAGTTTGTTCAGTGAATCCTAATGGTATAGGGTGGGTATGAGTATTGGATGAGTTAATATTTATAAAATGCTACAATGGTACCTAACACGTTGTATGTGCATAAGTAAGTGTTAGCTGCTTTAATTATAATTATTATTTATTATTAATTGACAATCCATCAAAAAGGAATTCTGTGTAAAAAGTGTAATTGGGTTGATTTGGCCTTTGTTAAAAGAGGAACTTAGCTCTATCCAATAGTTTTTATAAATAGTGAATGTTTCATGTTAAATGTAAGGAATTCAAATGTATTATTTGGATCAACCTAGACCTGCAAATTGAACTTGGCCATAAATTAAATGGGTGGAGCCTATAGCTCTCTGAACATTTTTTTTTTAAAAGATTTTATTTATTTATTTGACAGAGATCAAGAGCATAAGCAGGGGAAGGGGCAGAGGGAAAAGGAGAAGCAGGCTCCCCACTGAGCGGGGATCCCAATGTTGGGGGGCTTGATCCCAGGACCCTGGGATCATGACCTGAGCCAAAGGCAGTTGCTTAACCAACTGAGCCACCCAGGTGCCTCTGAACATGTTGTTTCTTAATAAGTTTAATTCAGGGGTGCCTGGGTGGCTCATTCAGATAAGCATCTGCCTTCAGCTTGGGACATGATCCTGGGGTCCTGGGATCGAGCCCCTCATTGGGCTCTCTACTCAGTGGGAAGCCTGCTTCTCCTTCTCCCTCTGCCTCTTCTGCTTGTTCTCTGTCTCATATCAATAAAAAAAAATCTTTAAAAAGGTAAATAAGTTTAATTCACTTTGCAACAAGGATTCTTTACTCCTTGTTCAGGAAGTACCAGTAGATTAGGAGCAAAGATGACAAGCAGATGAGAGGTTTATTTTTTCCATGTGGCTTTGTCAGCGAGATGGAATTGGTTGAACTCACTGCAAGATAGAACTAAGTGGGCCTTAATCATCCTTTGCCTCCCATAGCGGGTAGAGTTTGGCCACAGAGAGAAA